TGGGCTAGTCATGCTGCTGCTTTATTTGTTTACCTTGTATCCTATTTTCACAGTCTAAATTTGTTTAAAAAATATTTTGTTTATTATTTATATTTTATTTTATGTGTATGAGTGTATTACCTACATGTATGTAAGTGTACCCATGTCCTACAATGCCCATGGAGGTCAGAAGAAGGCATTGGATCCCCTGGAATTGGAGGTGTGGACAGTTGTTAGCTGCAATGAACTGAATCTGGGTCCTCTGTGAGAGCAGTCAATGCTCTTAACCACTCAGTCATTTCTCCTGCCCCTCACAGTCCAAATTTGTATGTACTATACAACTAATATAACTAGAGTTTAATAAATACTTGAATAGACATTTAAAAGTGGTTTTGGAGGAAGTGCTACAAATTTGTCTCTTAACCGTTTAACGAAGTATTAGTCTTAATTTTTACTACCTTAAATCAAGGAAAATATAAAAATCTGCTATATGCTATCTCACGTGAGTGAATATGGGTGTGTGTGTGTGTGTGTGTGTGTGTGTGTGTGTGTTGCTGAGGATGGAGCTGGGGCATGTGTTCTACTGAGCTACTTCCCAGTCTAGCTATTATCTCTTAGCCATTAATTCCTCCACTGTCTCCATTGGTGTAGTCTTTTGAGAGCCAAATAGCTCTAAGTAGTGAAGGGCTTGGTCTGGGACAAGTGAAATTCTGCCTATCTGACCTCTCTTCATTATTTCTATTCTTCTGTGCTTTCTTCAAACAGAGTTTGTGAGATGACTTAGAAAACATTTAGCAATTCATGTATAAAAATCCTCCTGGGATCTTTCTATCAACACCCTTTCCACAGTCTTGCAGTAATAATCTTAATTTTTTGGTTACAAATGTTTACCTCAAGTCCTTCTTTGGGGCGTTTGAAGAACATGCTTGCTCATTTTGGAAGAAGCCAGGTGGTTTTAAAATTGAGTATATCCAAAAGATATGGATTTTTGAGAGCAGATGAGTGACTGTATAATTTGAATTGTTATTATATAGTAATTATGTCAACTTGCTTCTGAACACTGAATCATCTCTATGCACTTCAGATGGATGTCACAGCAGATGCAGCCATAGCAATGAATTTGCATTAACTGCTGCAGCACTGGGTGTGCTCAATTAAATTGTTAATAAAGGGTTCTTTTGCAAACTGTTGGGAAGTATGAGTGAAATAAGAGAGACAGAAGTGTCAAACACGAGGTTTCCATGAGCCAGTACATCAAATATAGTGTTGGTATTTCACAGGACTGATTATCAATTGGTCTTGAGTCATGTGACAGTTAACAATAAGGATAACTTTTTTTCTTTTTTGTGGGTGCTCAAGGAAGTCAGAAGACGCCATTGGACTTCTTGGAACTGGAATTACATGTAGTTATGATGTGCCCTGATGTGGGCACCGGGAACTGAACCCGTGTCCTTTGCAAGAGCAGTACACACTCTTAATTGTTTGAGCCGTCTCTCCAGACTCAGGGATAACATGTTTGAAAAGAAATTGTTATTGTATGAGCTTACTTTTGTCTTTCGTCTGATTATCATCAGACTCTAGGGCATAGATGTGGGTTCTCAAAGGTTCATCCACGTTCTTGCACTGGGTAGTGGTAGAAGCCAAAGCCAGTCTGGGCTGACTGACGTGTGAGCCCATTGTCTTACTATCAGGCTACACTGCTTCTTTGTGTGAATCCAGGTTAGTCAGCAAATCAACTGTGCCTGCGTGTTTAATGAAAGTGACCTTTTTCCTTGTTGGTTTAAAAATAAAAGATTAAAGCAGCTCTTTGTGAAAACTTAGGTGAAAATGCATTTATTTTCACCCCAAACTCTTAGTTTGAGAACAGTGTAGTTGCAAATAGCTACTGAGGGAGTCTTTTTTTTTTTTTTTTTTTTTTTTTTTTTAGTTGTTCATGCTTAGAGACTGGAGTTTTCTGGTAATGCCCTGACCCTGGAAGTCAGCCTGAGTTTTCTGCAGGACTTTCAGAAATACCAATTGTCTTTTTGAGACAGGGTCTCCTTGTAGCCCCAGCTGTCCTAGAACTCACTATGTAGACCAGGCTGGCCTCAAACTCAAAAAGATTCACCTACCTCTGCCTCCCAACTGCTGGGATTAAAGACGTGCGCCACCACACCTGGCCTGATGGAGTCATTTTTTTTGTGTACAACATAAGACACTGGGGTCGTGCCCAAGCTTTTTCAAAGGAAATCTATGGAATTTCAGGATAATCAACTGCTGGTAACATCATCTCCAAATATATAGCACAATGTGCCCATATTGATACAGTAATTCCAACTCATAGGTAAGTGTGCAATAAATGAATATATACTGTCCTCAGGCAGAAACTTGAAAGCATTTTGTTGATGGCTCGGGTAACCTGGCCTATTATCTTGACTTTCCTTTCTAACAAGTACCTTTCTTTTTTAATTATATTTTTATTTTCTTGAGAATTTTATACATGAATATTGTATTTATGCCATTTTTATCCATCCGTCTTCCCTTCAACTCCTACCAAATTTACCCCCACTCCCTGTCAGTATCTTGACCCCTTCTTTAATTACTACTGTTGCATATGTATAACCTACTGTATCCATTTAGTGATACTATTATATACATGTGTTTAGGGCTAATCACTAGGGTAGGGTAACCTATCAGGGAGCTTGTCCCTGGAGAAAGCTGATTCTTCCTCTCTTATCAGCCATTAATTGCCTATAGATCTTCATCTAGAAGTGTGGTCTTAGAAATTTCCCCCATCCACACTGCCATGTCAGCTGGGGCTGTCGTTATAGCTCTTCTTTAGGCAACCATATTGTTGAGATTCCACGGTGCAGCTTCCCTGTCATACCTGGAAGGTACTCTCTAGCAGCAGGCATCTTGGTCCTCCGGCTCTTACAATCTTTTTGTCTCCTCTTATGCAATGTTCCCTGAGCTTTAGGTATAGGAGTTGCATTGTACATGTATTAATTGAGGCTAGGATTCCACTGTCAATCATTTTCTGCATTTTGACCCGTTGTGGCTCTCTGTTAACAGTCTCCTTTATTACAAGAAGAAGCCTCTTTGGTGGCGGACGAGAAATACACTTAACTTTGGATTTAAAGAAAGTTTTTAGAATAAAATCAGACATCATATTGGGTCAAGGAAATGAAAGTTTTCGTATAGCATCTGTAACCTCTCAAGCCACTATTTGGTTAACTTTGCAGTACCAGGCATGAATTCCCTTCTACTAACACCTTTCTCTTTAAACATGATTGGGTTCCCACTTACATTTCCTCCTCCAACTCTGACACTGGAACGCTTGCCCCATAGCCTCTCTACTCCTCACCCTGCTCACTGGTTTGTGAAAAGGCCTGAGGCCCATGAGGTCTGTCACTCGAGGGTTCCTGTCAAGGACTGGAGAGAATTTACTTTTTCTTAGCCTTTTTAATTCATGTCCCTGGGCCATGACTTCCAGAGCAGGTGGTGATTGGTGAGGCAGGCAGAGAGACATGATCTAGTCATCTGTCAGTAGAACTCCCACACAAATGTCAGAGCTTGGCTGGGAAAGGCTGCTTTTTCTTGCTGTGTGGTTCCCCATAAAAATCTGTCAGTTCCCTGTAGAGATTTCTTTCCTCTCTTCCTCTCTCTACCCACATCTCTGTGGCTGCATATAACCTGCCCCCCGTGGCCTTTTCCTCATGGAACAACTGGCCCTCTCCTGCTATTTGTTCTCCTACCCCAGTCACTCTTCTCTTTCTCTTCCCTCTTGGGAATTTGTGCCCCTCTTCAGAGCACTGAACCTTCTGGCTTCTCTTCTAACACTATTTCCTGTCTCTTCCTCCTCTGGTCTCAGAGGACTGTTCTCCCACCTTAGACTACCTCATCATGGCCCATTAGTAAACTATAGCCTGAGTCTCAGCTGATGGGAAAGCCAGGGATGATGGGAGCAAGACAGGTGCTGAATAAGACCTGCAAGGGTGGGGAAAGAGTGAAGAGGCACCTGGTGGGTGTCTGCAAGTTGAAACTAGTACATAAAAGGAGTCTTGGCCCCCACTTTCTGTCCTGCTCTAAACATCATATCTAATACTTTAGATGGCTGCTACTACTAAAATAATTTATTTAAAATGTCTGACATGGTGAGTAGAACATAACAGATAGTAAAAAATATTGTCTTGTTGTTTTTCAAAACTTAAAGTGAGTCAAATCGGTGATAGGAGAATTGAGTTGGAACCAAGGAGCAAAATCTGTCTTTGCTAGAAACAGCACTGGTTTTGTGAGAAAAGGTTCTCCGTGTTATAATTTACAAATTATTCCAGTCAGTTTTGAGGGATATAACAATTTGTGATGGTAGTTACTAGATGCTGAGACTTAAACATGTTGTTAATGGAAAAATCCCAATTTTAGTGTGAGGTCTCAGTTTTCTAATCTGCAAAATGAAGGTCTGATGGAACCAACCACAAGCAGTTATTTGTAGTTCATGTACAATCAAATATGTAATGCTTACATACAGCACAATGCATAGCACATAGGAATCATTTGAGAAGGATCTCTGTTAGCAGGACCAGGATTTTCAAAACTAGAAGAGACTGAAGTTTGTCTTTGTAAAATGAACAGTTTTGCATACTTGTCTGCTGATTCACTTTCCTAATAGACAAAGAAAAGACACAGATATGTTGGACTATGCAACTGAGGCACTCAGTTCTGATGTAGCATATAGCAGGAAAGAGATTGCCAATCACTCTGGTAGAGCTTATGAACCAAGTGGCCTCTCCTGATCAGATTTCTGCCTATTTCAAAAGCCCGCAGAATGCATTCTGTGCTGTGGTACTCATTAATTCATGAGGCAGTTCATCAAGTGTTAGGCTCATTTCACTAGAGTAAGAGGAATATTCTGGGCTATTAGGAATGATTTCAAATGCCATTTGTGGGGTAGCAGGTAGGTTCAAGTCATGACAGATTTGCTGACTACTTTCTACTAGAAGGCCTTTCCCATGTCTGGGGACTGTGGGTCTATGATAACTTACCTGCCCAGCATCTGCAGAGTTCTGGTCTCTTTTCAGGTTCTGAGCTTGGGTGCTGGGAATCATAGGTGCATCACAGCGTTCACAGAATAGACAGGAACTTGAGACCTTAGCTGAATAAATATTTGTTGTATGGGAAAAAATTCATACTTATTCTCAGTGTTGTTAGAGAGCTTAGAACCTCCTGCCCCAAGAGAGCATGGAAGGGGTAATAATTTTAGCTGTGACAGGTTTGCTACCTGCTGAACTCTGTACTGGACTTCTGGGTCTTTCTCTCCAGCCCCTCCAGCAGTGTCTCCAGAGCTAGTGACATATGCTGAGAGTAACTGTCACAAAGTCTCAGGAAAGCATACTGTGATGTGTCCAATCCTAACCCAATGACCAACTTCCCTTGGTGCTTTTTCAACATGTCAAATCCAGAAATTGTGGGATAGTATGGCTTCTAATCCAGTATTTTAGAGGCTGAGGCATAGTTTGGGGAGGAATAGTAAACTGCTAGGCTGCAGCCTTACTACAAAGGCCAGAGGGAGGGTGGGCTGACAATGCAGAGAACTTGTAGGGCTTCCCTTCCTCAGACCTCTTTTGCTAATTGCTCACCTTCATGTTGCTCAGTGAGTCTCGTCCAGGCACCAGTCTGGAACAATCCAGTTCCCCAGTCAGGGAGACTCTGAGGGCCTGATGCCAGTGACACAAAGGTAAGGATCCTGTCAGCTTTCCACAGACTGTGTTCTCAGCCTTCAGGAGCCAAAACAACTACAATCAGCTTTCCTTTTTGTAGCAAAATGGAAATGGGCTGTCTTGAAAGTGGCACCTGACTGTCCTTCACATTTATTCTCTGGAGCCCGGTTTCCCACCCCAGCCCTGCAGGGTTGGACTGAGCCATAAACTTGGTCTGTGGACACAGGAGTCATGGAAAAGGCAGCATCGGCGCTGGTGTTTACTGAACCCCTACATTCTGCCACAATGGCATTCTTAGGGCCTGGACTGCTCTGCCATAGAACAGGAAGTTTGATTTATTACAAAGGACATTTGGTAGATCACAGTGAAAACTGTTTTACTTTCAAATATTCTTATGTTTCACACAAGCTTGTGCCTCTCACCCCGTCCTTGACCTTTGTCCCTCCTTTGGCCTTCAGTAGTAGCTGCCTACCCATCATTGCCCTCCCATTACCCCGTCCCTGGCAGGCTGTCTCCTCAGCATTTTCTTCAGTTCTCTTGAGGGCTTGAGCTTCAGAGGTCACTTTAGGGTTTAACAAGGCCAATATTTTGCTGAATCCCTGATCTGTTTGCAGAGCCTGGGGACTGAGTCTAAGTGTCTCTCATTATCTCTCTGCATCTGGCACTGGCTCAGCAGCCTGGAGAACTGTCCTGGAAGAAGAGATCCATCACAACCAAAGGCCCACGTACCTGTGCTTTCTGCCTGCTCATCTTTCTTGGGCGCTGGAGGCATGGAGGAAGCATGACCAGGTGTTAATATACACACAGGGGCCAAATGCAGTGAGCACAGAAACTGGGGGCAGGTGACCAAACCATTCCCATTGTGTGATCCAGGCCAACTCAAGTCAGTTGGAACATGTGCTTAGGAAATATGGAAGCCAAATGCATATAGAGCCTGTTCCTCTACTTGGTGAAAAATGTCAGAAAGCCTACCTTGAGGGAAATTGGGTGACTGCAGTCCATAAACTGAGTGAGGGAAAATGATGCATAATTAAGGTTTTAGTCTATGGAACTGAAAGGAAAGCCACAGAGAACAAACGTTAACTCTTATTTTGCCATGGTCCAAACTCTTTATGAGTATTTAATTTAAAAAGCAAAATAATCTTCCAACTTTACAGTAGATATTGAATGCTCAGCTGGAAAGTTTGCCGAACATCCTTTTCAGTGCCTGGAGCAATTAGAGAGCAGACTCAAGCTCCATGGCTCCAAGTCCCTCTATAAGCCCTGGACAGACTCAGAAGAGGGAATTCTCTGGAGCGAAGGGTGGAGTCTAGCAAGAGAATTCTCTCTGGACACATTACTTTGGCTCACTGTAGGGAAATAAAGCAACCCTTAAAAGTAATGCTTATTAAAAACAAGCAGATGAAAGATTAGGAAACTCTTTCAAGTGCACTATGTTGGTGGCAGGAGGCATGGTGGAGCGTCCATCATGGATGAAGTGACTTCAGGGTACCTACAGTCCTTCTACCCTCCCTGGGCCTTCCCTGACCTTCCTGTCTACCTTTTTCCTCCCCCATTCTGCCCTAGCTACCAGGAGACTCTCCAGGCCTGTTTTAAGTTTCAAGACAGGGAGGGCTTTGCTGCATTTGAACCTGAGTTGTTCATTTGAAAAGAAGTCCACATAACTACCAGAGGCTAGTACCTCAGTACTGATGGCTCTCAGGTAATACTTGTATCTTCCCCCCCTCCCCACTTCCTTCCTCCCCTCTGCACCTGTACTTTTCATTCTTTTCATTTGTTTCTGGGGATTGAACTTAACACATGTCAGGCAGGCATTCTACCACTGAGCTACATCTCCAATCCTCACCTTATTTTTTAAGACAAGGTCTCACTAAGTTACCCAGGGTAGCACTGAATTTGTGATCCTTCTGCCTCAGCTTCTTAAATAGCCAAGATTACAGGCCCAGGGACATCTGTATCCCAACGGGGAGTCCTTTAGGGTTTTATTAGGAAAGAATAAAGGATTAATTCATTATATGAACTTAACTGTTCCCTAAATCACTGCAAGTAGAGCACTTGCTCTTTTTGTAGCTCAGATCGTTATCGGAAATTACTTACCATTAAGTGTGTCCCCTATCTCCTTGCTGTTGCAGATGGACCTGAACTGTGATGAGTCTGTGTCTATTATTTTTATTATATATGATTTAAAAATCTATTTTTGAGAAGTCTGTGTCTATCTTATGAGCTAGAATTTATTGAGCACTTACTATGCTAAGCTTTTCATATTTATTAACTAATGTTATAGTTTATATTATAAACTTATGATTGTCAGAAGTAAGTAACTCCATCTCTGTTTTAAAGACAAGATGTGAAGTTGTTGAACTATTTACCTAGGGTCACAGGCAGATAAATGAATAAGTTATAATAGAAACCCAGGCTGTACAACCCTGGGGCCTACAGTGTTAACCATAATATAGGCTGCATCGCTGGCACTGCCATATCAGTTGGGCTGCAGTCACTCTTCCTGGCTTTCCTTTGATGTCTCTCTGATGGTGAATTTTCTGAATCAATCTGGTCCACAGTACTCAGGTATTTGATAAAGCTTTATTCTGAAATTTTCTGTGAGGGAGTTTTTGGACAAATTTATGTATAGATCAGACAAGTGTAGGTAGATTGCCCTATCATAAGGGTGAGCCTCAACCAATCAACTGAAGGCCTGAATAAAGCAAAATGCAAGAGAGAATTTTCCAGAAAACAGCTTTTGCTTCAGCTGCAACGTCAGCTCCTCCTGGTTTGCCAGCTGTGTGTCTTTGGACTCGCAGGGTAACCCTATCCTCTGTCTCTAGCTTCCTTGGGCTCCTCCATCAGATGTTGTACTCACTAAAGTACCACAGTTACAGAAGGCAATTCTTTAAGACGAATCTCTTCAACTCTGCCCTTCCCCCATTGGTTCTGTTTTTCTGGAACACCAAGACTCAGACAACCTCCTTTGCCAACAAATTCCTTAAGGCTAAGTCCCAGGGCTTCCTTTTTCTCATTTTTGCTTGTTTCTAAGCAAAAATTTGCTGCCCATTCCTAAGTTACCATCTGGATGCAAATAACTCTTGAGTTCACACTCTAGCTCAGAAGCATCTAAGAAGTTCCAGGCTCATATATCTAGTTGTGTACTTGAGTGTACACTGGCATGTCTGAGGGTTACCTGAATGAAACATGCACAAACGCAGGTTCATGGTGCTGGTTCTCTTCAGGCTTCCTTGTCTCTTAAATATCCTTCTGTGTGTCTGAAAGACTGGAAGTGCTCTTAACCACTCTGCTCCTCACTGAGTCCCTAATTTGTCAACATGACCAGCCAAGGTCACTTCAGACATTCCCTTTCATTTACTTCTCTCTGGAGCTACAACCTGTCTGACTCAAGCTATGGGCACCTGCTACCTTGACACCTTAGGCTCACTGCCCTTTCTCTGCCCTACAGTCACAGTGATCTTCCTAAACTGCAAAGTTGATCAATCATTTGGTACACTACCTGCTGGAAACACTCAGTTCTTATCAAGACTGCATAGTGGATCCCAGGGCTTCAGGGGCTGACCTCTTCTAGTAGTGTCCTTCTTGCTGTCTTCTACACTCTAGCTACCTTGACATATTTTCTTCAGTTTCTCAAAGTGCTTCCTTCTACATAGATCCCTTCCATGTGCTATTCTTTAAATTTTGTTAAAAATCAGGAACATTCTTCCTTCCTTCTCAATTACCACATCAAGGTTCACTTTTGGGGGAGACTTCCATGTTCCACATACCCTTCTATCACACTAATCATATGTCTTTATCTTGCAAGCTCACAATATTTATTGAAATTAATATGAACACCAGCATACAATTTATAGAATGTTGGTCAAGTTCAAGTATCAACCTCAGTGATAAATATTTTATAGTCATTACATTTAAATCTCATCTAATTGAATTTTCAACAAGATCTAAGAGTGAGGAAATAGTATTCTTATTTTATAGGAGTATCTCAAGAACCTGGGCCATCAGCCCAGTGCATGTTCAGTTGTGTGATAATTTAATTCTGAATCCTTGTCTCTCCCATAGGACTTTGAACTTGGAGTAAGCAGGAGCCAGATCTGTTCTTGATCAGCCCTGTTAGAAGCCAGCCTGGCATGTACAATATGTCCAATATGCACTTGCTGATTGAAATAATGAGTATTTGCATGAGTAATGAAGTAGGTTGCATTTTAATATGGAAACTAACTGGGTATTCCTTTTGTCCTCAGATCCAAATTAGTCACCTATGAGATTGTTGACAAAGTCTAGACAGATGCTGGCAAATGAGAAAATGGCATTCCCAGTTCTTGAGATGCTTTTGAGCACCCTCCACTCTTTATTTTGATGACCATCTGCTCCATTTACAAATGAGGCAGCAATTCAGTTTAATTTAACTCAGTTAAGCGTGATTTTTATTTATCACTTTTTTTATTTTATAGTTTTAACACTTCTGGGGTTTCTGAAATGAGGGAACCCCACTGACACTGTCACGTGCATCTTGTATAAGTAAGTTTACTCTTGCATCTGTAACAGAGAAACCCTGAATTTCTGAGCCTTAACACAAGAGGGCTATTTTTTACTTGTGTAATGGCCTAATGTGACTTTGCTGCTTGTTCAGACAGCTTTCACTGTGGTGATTCGGGAGCCCAGCTTCCTCCCTGCTGGGGCTGCCTGGACCTGTCTCCTGAGTTCTTTTACTGATGGCAGAAACAGAAGAAGGCATGGGAGAGGCAAGCCTATCACACTTACTTCTCCTTGCTAGAAATTCATTATGCATTTATGTCCAACTATAAGGACAGCAAGAAAATGCTATTTGTATATCCAAGAAGAGAAAAATGAGAAATTGCATTTGGTGAATTACCAGTATTCTTTGCTCTAATCCATCCTTACCATGCAAGGGAAAGGAATGCATAGTATTAGTATATAGTGTCCTGGGAGATAGAAAGAGGGAGGCTTGAGTTAGCTGAGGTCATCTGAAAGGTCTGTGTGAGTCAGGGAAGACAGGGAAGACCTAGGTAAAAAAGGAGAACTTGCAACAGGTATAACTGAGTCTGGTGCCTAGAGAGATGAGTCTGAGACCAGGTGGTAGTAGAGATCGGGGGGTGGGGACAGGGGGAGTAGAGACAGCAGAAGTAGGGTCAGAGGAAGTGGGGATGGGGGGTGGGGACGGTGGCGTGGGGATGGGGGGAGTGGGGAGGGGAAAAGACAATAAAAAGTATGAATATGTGTCACAGAGTCAAGTAGAAATTATTTTAATAATCTCTTTGTCTTGGTTTTCCTGTTCTTCTACAAGTAATTAAATAACAAATAGAATCCAACCCTTCACCACAAGTATCTTGGTCCCTAATGTGAAGATATGAAATAATTAGAGGATGTGCTGTGTAAGGATTTTCATATCATAGACAATTTCTATTTTCAAGACTGTGCTAATTATAGAGGATGAGGCTGAACAAAGGGAAGATATGCAATTAGCAGAGCACTGCTTATTGCTAACCAGCTTTATTTAGGTGCATTGCTAAATCTATATATGTCATAGATCAATAGCCCTTTAGCATTTATCTTTCAGATGAAAACTTTGGAGATTTCAGAAATGCTAGAGTTAACCATCTTCTACTTGACTGTGGTGATGGTGCAGAAGACTTTTACACTGTAGTCTAAGTAGTAGAGGGCGAAGAGTAAAACCTTACAAAGAAGAGTCCGTTCCTTCTGTGGTCTTCTACTCAGTGAGTGGCTTAGTAATTATGACCTCTACGAGCCATTTCTTGCATCCTATAAGGATGCTAATGCCTAGGAAAGCACCTAGCACAGAGTTGAAACTATATTAAAAACCAAATTTTAATTTTGAGTATATTCCCTTCTCTAATCCTTCCTTTCTTTTCCTATCAAGATTTCATTCACCTCAGATAAAAATCTTTAAGACTTTAAGAACTGTACAAGAATGACCGCAATATCAGATGAATGTACTTCCTCTAACCCTCCCAGAGCTCAGTAAAGCCAGTTATCACATCAGTGGCTCTATTTGAGCAGTGTCAAGGATGAAGAAGTACCTAGGCTCTCTAATCTGAGGACGGCTGACTGGGCTCTTTTCTTCCAAAGAGAATAAACTGCATATCATGCAATATACTTTTTGCTGGGGTGATGGTTGTGGGTGTTTTGTTGCCAAAGAAGACATTAAGTGCAAAAAATCTTTGCCACATATCTACTTTCCTTATATTTTGTTGGCAGAATATAAGGAACTGGTATGAAAAGCCAGGAGCTCAAAAACTGTACAGTGTTACATATACCCATTGAAAATGCTGTGGGCTGCCCATCCAAGTCTACAGCTCAGGTATGAATGGCCCACATACTGAGTGCAGCTCAGTGTGGGCTGAAAAGATAGAGGTCCTTAGCTCCTGAACAGGCATTAGGATTCATTATCATATCAATGGCCCACATGCAAAGTTCTTGATAAAACCATCGTAATTCAGAGGCATGAGACAAAATATGAGATTTTGATTTCTGTAAACAAATCAAAAGATTTTCCGTCAAGCTACTTAATCTGTTTAAGGTTTTGCTGGGAATATAAACATCAGAGGAGCCTAGGATCCAGGCAGCCTGGACTGGAAAAATCACAGAAGATTGCTACTTTTTCCTCATTTACTATAATCTAGCCATATCTGTCTTCTTTCAGTGCTGTGCGCCATCCAGGATGAAAGCTTGTCTTAGAACCTCTTGAAAACATCCTTCCTGCCTTTCCCAGATACCTCTTGGAACAGTTAGGGCAGTTCTACCATATTAACACAAGCTCCTGGACCCTTGGTTTGGTATACCTGCTCAGGCTTCATGTTCACGGTGGGTTTCTGGGAGAGGTGGGGAGCTTTATAGGAACAAAGGCTCCAGGTGATGGAGCAGCCCCATCTTGAGCCATCTCACCATCAAGAGTGTCACAGGGAATGAGAGCTGGAGGCTCTTGCAAGAGCAATTGTGATGTCTGTGGAAAGTGTGGTGGGAACACATGGGAACAGCTTTCATAGCTCCCCTGGATACTTCTTCCTACAGCATGACCCACCCATTCACAGCCTGGGGACTCTACTCACAGAGTTTGTCAGTTAGTGGCTGCGTTGCTTGTTTAGTTTTAGTTTTGTTTTCAGTTTGTTTTCTCCATTGGGCTCTTAGATCTCTCAAGGAAGGGCCATGCTGGCATTCTGATTCTATGCTCAATCTGTCTGTATTTAAATACTGAATACATTGGCTTGAATTTGGAGAATCCTATGGCTGTAACAGCATGGCTGTCAGTCTGTATCCATCCTTAAGACTCTGTGCTGATTCTATTCCACTGTGTCTTATCTGTCAGCTTCTGGCCATGTGATGAGAGGGCACAGGCAGAGGCAGATGAAGCATTCCTTGGGATGCTGTCATAATGCAAAGGGTCAAAAACAACCCACTAAAGTACCACAGGACTCAGAAAAGGTAGAGACAACTAATATATCTGACACAAATCATTGAAAATAATGGAAAAGAAAAATGATCAAATGTATTGGCATTTTGCTGAGTTTGCTTTTGGAACATTAGCTTGCTGGGAAATAACTCGAGCTGTCTCCCATACTGCACTGGCAGCTGGCCCTCACGGTCCAGTGGGCGTTTAGAAAGCATGAGAAGTCACTTGGAGATAACTGGCTATTTCATAGAGGAAGAAACTAGATAGGACACAGGATCAACCCTGAGTTACAGGAGGTTGGTGGGTGAGAATAAAGTAGGACCGGTTCCTTCTTGCTGGGACTGGGTTCCTTTCTCAAAGCACACTGTGGGAAGTTTGCAACTCTTCATACTGACTTATGGTATTTAGGTCAAAACACATATAAAGGAGTATTCTATTTGTGTACCTTTTCAGTACCTTCAGGAGAAACATTTTAATAATTATTTTCTATTTTGAGGTGCTTTTAAATAACTATATCAACATTTTTTTCTGTACAAAATTCTTATGTTCAATTGAAATTAGAAATGATTGAAGTACAATTTGCCTTGTAGGACAAGGTGCAAGAACCAATTAGCAATGGTCTTGGAGGAATGGATTTTAAGTAGAAATTAATTTGTTTCAGGTTACCTGAAGCAATTTTTTTTTTTCAGGCAGGGTCTCCCTGCAGCCCCAGCTGGCCTGGAACTCACTATGCAAACCAGAACTCACAGACATCTGCCTGCCTCTGCCTGCCTCTGCCTCCTGAGTGCTGAGATTAAAGGCATGCACCAAAGCACACAGCCTGAAGCAAATCTTTAGTCCCAAATGGTGCATCTTAAAGGAGGTCATTGCTAAAATCAGTTTAAAGTGTCAAAGATATTTGTAAATATGATTTTATAAGTCACTTTTATTAAGCTATGATTTTTTTCTCTTGTCAGAGGACTAAGGCTTTTAAGACAAGGATATTTTACATACTGTAACACATAAAAACTAATAAAAGAAGCTCAACATTTCTTGCTTTGCTCACTCATCTTTGGATGTGAACTTTTTTTTTGTCTTTTTGAAGACAGGATCTCCCCGTAGCCCCAGTTAGCGTGGAACTCGCTTTGTAGACCAGGCTGGCCTTGAACTCACAGAGCTCCACCTGCCTCTGCCTCCCAAGTGCTGGGATTAAAGGCGTGCGTCACCACACCCAGTTGTGAACTTCTTATCTTCTAGCTGCACTTATTTTCCTCAGTGACAAGCTACACAAGAGAGCAGTAAGCAAGCACCTCTCCTACCTGCTGAACCAAGCGTGCTGTGTATTCCTTCTTCTCACTATAGGCACAGAGCATCTAGCATGGTCTCCATTGGTTTGAGGACATTTGAGCGACTCATTTCAGGAGAAGCTACTGCTCAGCATATTGCAGAATCCTAAGTGGACACCAAGAAGAGGGAAAACTTTAGAAAAGTGGAAGTAAATTGAATTTTGGAGCAATTAAGATAGAATTCTTTGATAAAAAATAAAAAGATTTCTATGTGGTTGAATGGTATGTAGGCAACCTTTGAATAAAAGTTCTTTGATATTTTTAAGAGACTAAGTAAATGGGAGTTTGAGCTAGTTCTAGGACTGCAAACCCAGATGCATGTAAGGCCAGGCAAGAAGGATACAGGAGAAACAGCCTGGGTGTGAGGTGATAAGGAACTGCAGGGGCAGTAGTGGTCTCGTAAGTAGATGACCTCTTGGAGGCTTAGCCATGGTTGTCACTGATGCTAAGGAAACACAGTCCCAATAGTGCCATCAGATTTTCAAAAAAACAAAAACAAAACAAAAAAAACAAAAAAAACAAAAAAAAAAAACCCAGAAATATGTGGGTCTGGAGAGATGGCTCAGTGGTTAACAGCATGAGCTGCTCTTGTAGAGGGCCTGGGTTTGGTTCCCAACACCCACTAATACATGTCTATGACCCCAGTTCCAAAGGATCTGATACCCTCCTCTGCCCTCAGCAGGCATTGCACACATGGGTATACTTACATTCATTCAGGCAAAAAAGCACTCATACCCATAAAAATTGATTAAAAACAACAGCTATAAAGAAATATGCATTTGATTTAGAATTTTGTGAGTTTTACATTTGAGGATTTAATTCAAAAAACACAACTTTATGTAGGTTAGGCAAAAGGGATTAGACCCCTGAGAGGGGATAACCCTTAAGCAAGGACAGCCAGTTAATTAGTGGCACAGCCAACGTGTTAGACAGGAGTGTCTTCCCTTTCAGGAGGGCCTTCACTTTCACTCAGGACCACTCTAAGACCAGCCAGTCCTGTTTAAATAATTTGTTGAAGGCTAATCAGAAGCTCCTTCTATTAATCTGATTCTTGACTATCAAGCTGTGTCTGCAACTTCATGATGGCGTGGTGTTCTACTCTTACCCTTTGTACTTTGAAAGGAGTACTGAGAAAGTGACTAAACTGAGATTGCCCCATATCTGAAGCACAACTCTGATCATGGACATCTGTGTGTACAGTGATGAAGGAATGAAGCCAACTCTGAGGAGTGGCAGTGTGGTATGGACAGAGATATAAGGGGGACCCCCTTCCGGGAGTCTTACCCTGGTTCAAGTTGGTCATGTACAAGGCTGCTCTCTTTAAATGACTCACTTTTGTGTGAAAGATGTGTTTAAGTTGGGTTTAGATGTAACAAAATCTCTTTAGGTCCCAAATGCAAAATAGGAAAAGCAGTAATGTCTGAATCACAGGGTTGTACTGAAGTTCAAATGAATTCACATATAGAAAATGTTTAGAAAGGTGTTTGTACAAGGTAAGTATACATATTTGTTATATTTATAATAACAAATGCTAACTAGTATTTATAACAATAGCTAATATATCCTGAAGGCTTATTATATATGAATGTACTTACAATTATTATCATCAGCATCACCACAGTCCTCTTTTTCATACTATTTATTCTTTACTGTTGTATAAAAGATAACCTTAGCGGGGCGTGGTGGCGCATGCCTTTAATCCCAGCACTTCGGAGGCAGAGGTAGGTGGATCTCTGTGGTTTCAAGGCCAGCTTGGTAGCTTGGTGCGCATACTGAGTTCCAGGACAGCTGGAGCTACAGGGAGACCCTGTCTCAAAAAGACCAAAAAAAAAAAAAAAAAAAAAAAAAAAAAAAAAAACCTTGAGAAAAGTGTCTTGTGCAATGGTATTTAGTGGAGCCAGCGTTTGAATCTGGGTCTACTCAGTCTGCCATTGCTTATCCCACTGAGTGTTGTCAGTGTCCAGCTGAAGGCACACTTCAGGTGGCCAAAGGATAGCAAATGAAATTTAGTCAGACACCAAATACTTACCAAGTTAAATACCAAAGCAAAGAAATCCTATGGTAAGCAATCTAACTCATTATAATAGTTGGTAATATCTTACTTCATGAAAATCTATATTATTCTGAAATGGGATTGTTCCAAGTGATTAAGAACAAACAAAAGACCGTGTAGTCAGTTTTTAGGCTATGTGAATGTTAACTTAAAATTCTATAATTCTTAATAGGTTATTTGCACAGTGTTGGTAAAATCATTTCTATGGACATAGCTATTAATAACTTAAATAGGTATTGAATGTTGAGTTTAATAACACCTGGAGGATTTTTCTATAGCCTACTGAATGCTTTCTCTTGCTTTTGTAAAAGTTTCTGTGCAAAGAAAGATCTAAATATAAACATTGAAGTGTATTCAACATTAATATGGAATGTTTCATGAAAACATTGAATGTAGAAAATAGAGGAAGTAAGGGTAAAGGAAGTGATGCTAATAAATAAAACCACAAGGGATTCTCTATACCAAATACTATTATTTTTTAGCACAGCAATTACTGAGTAAAAATAACCAAACTAACCACAACAATAATGTAGAACATTTGTATGTTGTTAATTCAACTTTTGTGATAGTTATTGTAGTTTAAATATTTCAAACCTTATGTAGACATAATTTGTAGTTTTGAATATCCATTCTATTACAGTAATATATGTCTTGACAGTGTCTTACTATGTAGCCCTGGCTGACCTAGAGCTTGCTACATAGACCAGGCTGGCCTTGAATTCACAGAGGTCCATCTCATTCTGCCGCCATAGTGCTGGGATTAAAGGCTGTAGATGATTTTTTTCTGACACATTAAAATGAATTAAAATTAGCCATATAAGGAAAGGGAAAAATGTGTGTGTATGGGGGGGTCCTTTTAACCATAATAATTAATTTTATCAATGCCAAGCAAGTAGAAAGTGGGAAATATACAGATGTAAATTTCTTTGCTTTAGATTGAATTTAACATTATTCCAAAAGAAAATGACGTCTATTTGCAGCAACAATAATACAGAACACAGGAACATGTTTTATAGCACAAGAGGAAAAATATAAAGCATGTTTTATAGATTGATTTCTCAAGTATAATTTTAGTATTTAAGTTAGAATTTAAAATATATTCACATTCAACTGTTGGATTTAGAATACAAAACAATATTTCAAAGTCAAATATAAATGAATTTGCTCTGCGGTCACTCTTTTGGATAACTGTCATTATTGCTATTTCTCTTTGGGCAGATACTTGAAAACTTGCTACATAAATTGTTGTGTTTTTATAGGAAAATAGCTTAGACTCATCATTTGTTGCCCACATTTTAACAATTTTATCAGACACAAAAACTGTAGCTCTTCTAGAGCATTATCCTATTACATTTTATCAGTATTGTCCCTTCCTTTTAGTTTCTCTTGGCAAAAAGAAATTTTGCCGATGCTAATTATACCTATTATGCATTAGAAATCAATTTGTCCTGTGAGCATATTTACATCTGTTAGCTAAGGGAGACTCTTGCTGACATACTAGGATAAAGAAGAGTAATAATTTGGACATAACATGTAGTCTCTGTAGTTTTGTACCCCCCTCTGTGATAACAAAGGACTGCATATGAATCTCTAATCCCAACATCTGGCCACACAGGATCATTTTATTTTTACTTTTTATTTTATGTGCATGAGTGCTAGGCCTACATGATGTAAGTGCACCCATATCATGCAATGCCCAAGGAGGCCAGAAGAGGCTGTCGGATCCCCTGGAATTGGAGTTACAGACAGTTGTTAGCTGCCATGTGGGTGCTGGAAACGGGACACAGAACCTCTGCAAGAGCAGTCAGTACTCTTAACCATGCGCCATCTCTCCAGCTCCATAGATCACAGTTTTGTAGAGTCTTTTTGAGATAAAGGACATGGAAAGAGACCAATGGAACAAAGCAAAAAGTACTGCTCAGTTGTCTATTTACTAACGGGATAAATTCTTTGACTCAGTATGAAACCAGGTAGAGGGAAACGTTGATCTCATTTAGATGAGAGAACAGAAAGCCTCCTAAACTCTAAATTTCAATAACAGTGTACTTAGTTTCCATTTCTCCTTGTCAAAGAGGTATCTCTGAGAAACAGATTCTGAGACTCTAAGGTTTCCATACAGGAAGTCTAGTAGAGCCTGTTCGTAGTAATAATCCCTGCTGCTGAGCTAGGGAAAAGATGTTAGGACATCTGCATTCACAAAAGAGCTGGGATGCTCCTGCAGAGACTAATGTGTGCTATAGCCTGCTTGCATGGACTTCACAGAGCTGGTTGGTGCCCATCCCATCACAACCTTATGTTCTGTGATTTCATTTGGTTCCTTGAAATTTTTGGTGTTGGGGGAGGGGTGTTGGAATGTTTATAGCATAGTCAAAGGCAAATGCTGGAAAACAGACGTCTCCTACTCCCAGTTCTCAATTCTGAGAAAGCTGGTTTACCAAGCACACCCTCAATGAGAAAGACTGCTTCTACATCTCTATGCCCAGATCTACGTGATAAATCTAATCATATGTGGGTTATTCAGAGGGAATTATGTGCTATGATGTCTTGAATCACTGTAACTTCTCTAAGACTAATCTCCCCTGTGATATACAAGTATTAGTATAGTATCAGTATTTTAGCCTTCCTCTGCTGCCAGTAACATCTAATTTTGCCTATCTGAGAGTGGTAAATTCTCATGGAAGCTAAACCATCTACATGGGATACAACCAATTTTAATGCTGTCCAAAGCCTAAATGTAAATACTGGTGATGACTGAGCCAAATCCTGAATAAAATTATTAGAAGGAAACCTGAAATGATTTAATTAGAAAATACTATCATTTCTCTAGTAATAAAACTGGTCATTTATCCTAATGAAGTAGAATGGCACTTGTTATGTCATAGCCTTTGTTTAAAAGCATCATAAATAATAAGCCAGATTAGGGTCTACATCATATGGTGGGGGAAGATTTTTAGAGTTATTATCAAGTCACATAAGGATTTTCAGTTATAATTATTCCATCTATTTTCAGTTAATTTCTATAAAGGCAAACTAGAACAACCAATTCCTGTATG